TAAAGATTTTATTTATTTATTTATTTATTTGACAGAGAGAGAGAGAGCACAAGTAGGCAGAGAGGGCAGGCAGAGGGGGAGGGAGAAGCAGGCCTCCCACTGAGCAGGGAGCCCGATGTGGGGCTCGATCCCAGGGCCCTGGGATCATGACCTGAGCCGAAGGCAGAGTCTTAATGACTGAGCCACCCAGGCGCCCCCTATAAATGATTTTTTTTAAAGATCCATGATTATTACTTTGTATTCAGGGTACCTAGTGTTTTCATTGCTTTCAATTCTGGTCCAAGAGGTTGGGGACCAAATGTTAAATGATACCTCCCATCTGGAGAACTCTACCATTTTCAAAGCTTGCTCAGATACTTTATTTTATTTGATCTTCACAATAACCTTGAGTGGGAAGCAGAGCAGGTGGTAATCTGATTTTACAGATGAGAACATTGAGGCTGAGGAGTCATGTGCCGTAGCTGGTGGCTATGGAGCTGGAAGCCAGGCAGTGGGGTTCCTGGCAGGGGCATTTCCCACACTGCTTCAAAACAAAATCATCCCAGCTTCTCCATTTTTTTTTTTTTTCCCCAAAGAATTATTTATTTATTTGACAGAGAGAGACACAGCAAGAGAGGAAATACAAGCAGGGGGAGTGAGAGAGGGAGAAACAGGCTTCCCGCTGAGCAGGGAGCCCAATGCGGGGGCTCGGAAGGCAGACGGCAGACGCTTAACGACTGAGCCACCCAGGCGCTTCTCCATTCTTAAACCAAAGACTCCTAGCTTATTTCTTCCAGGGTGTAGCTAAATGGAATAGGTTACCCAAAAGCAAATAAATTATTAGAGAAAGAGGAATTATTGATTTTAACAGATGTCTAGATTCCTAGATTTTCTTTTTCTTTAATAATGCTTTGACTTGATCCTTGTATTTTAAGCAATTTCCAAAATTCTACCATTATTTTAGTAGGGTACCAAGTGTTTGAAATAAATTTCTAGGCCCAGGATGGAGCTGCTCCTGCCCAGGGCGCCACGTCGGCAAAATGAACTTTGAAGTTCTGTAAACGGTCCCCAGGACCAGAAACATAATGGATTCAGTCAGCCAAGCCCCCAACACCAAGTCACCTCTGGGCTCTGTACTTACTCCCTTGTCCTTGGTCCTTCTAAATAAGGTCAGATATGCAACCCTAGCCAATAAGGCCCTGTTTCAGAAGTGATGCGGCTTCTAACGCTCTACCAAACTCATCCTAACCCAAACCCCTCAGGCAGAGAGCTCCACTGCCCAGGAAGCCCCAGACTCCCCCAGGCCACAGTGGTTCTCCCTTAAAAAGCACATCAAACTCATTACCTAACCGTTTTGGTTTTGTCATCTGACACAACCTTCCTAAAATATCTGATGATTCCCCTCCCTGTGGGCAATAGGAATTCATGCAAATAACACTTTTCAAAGGTCACAGATATTTGTTTTCTCAAAAAGATATTTCCTGAGCACTTTTTGTATGTTAACTATCACACTGTTCAATTGAAGATGATTCAAAGACGAGTCATTTTACCTGCCAGTTTCCTTATGAGCTTAGCTAACTCTGTGTTCTGCACTTCTCATTTCTTCAACAAGTTATGTCTTGAACTCAGCACTCTAAAGCAGGGTTTGACCCTGTGTGCAAGGAAGCTCTTATGACGAACACATTATTATGTGATGAGAGCTGTGGGCTGGAATGCAGCCTCTCAGCAAACAGGTGCATAAACTTGGCCACTTAGCACCTCACCAGGACCTTAGTTTTCATTTGTGTTTGCTTTTTAACCTGCAAATTGGAGATTATATCTAAAAATCAACCAGCTTCAAGACTATTAAATTAGATAATGAAATAGGACAAATTGCATGGTCCAATTACAGCAGCTTTAGAAAAATGTATCTGCCTATGAACAGGACTGTGAAGATCATTTTTACAAATGAAAAGAATGTGTGAATGCGGTAGGATAATCAGGGTTTTATTCTCTCTTTTTTCTCCCTAAAAAAAAAAAAATTTTTTTTTTTTTTTTTTACTATGTACTTAGAAGATCCCTTTGATATATATATTTTTCTAACTGCAGGGTGGAATGGTTAGGCAAATAGTGTTGTGCACAAATAATGGCATGTCCGTGTGGTCCTTAGGAAGTTTGTATAATATTTTTAATAACATGGAAAAATGTGGGGCGCCTGGGTGGCTCAGCTGTTAAGTGTCTGTCTTCGGTGGGCTCAGGTCATGATCCCAGGGTCCTGGGATTGAGCCCCACATCGAGCCCCACACTGGGCTCCCTGCTCAGTGGGGAGCCTACTTCTCCCTCTCCCTCTGCTCCTCCCCCTGCTTGTGTTCCCTCTATCGCTGTCTCTCTCTCTGTCAAAGAAATAAATAAAAATCTTTAAAAAAAACATGGAAAAATGTTTAAGATATAAAGTTTGTACAAATACCACATGGTTTCAACTACATAAAAATATAATGCACACTAAAAAAGATTGCAAATAAGGTGCTATATCTCTGAGTGATTGAAAATAGGCAGCAATTTCACTTCTTTCTATATTCCTTAAGTTCATACCTTGGACAAATACCCATTTTGTTTAGGGAGGAAAACAATAAACGTTATTTTAAAAAATATATTGTGGTGCAGGAATCATTCCAAGATAGATTCATTCTCTTACCCAAATTGCATATTCCTTTTTCCATCTGGTAGCCAACCGGGCATTTGCAGGTGAAGGATCCCTGAGTATTGTTGCATGTGGCCAGGGGTGGACAGGGGTTCAAGAGGCATTCATTCACATCTGCAGAGGACAGAAAACCGGGCCATACTGAATCCGCGGCAGACAGCAAAATCACTATCTAGTCCAGTAAGCACTTACTAAGAGCCAAAGGGCACGAGGCACAGTGGGGCCCAGAGATAAGGAGGATGCTACCCTTGTCCTCGAGGGGCTACCAGTCCATTGAGGGTGGAAGCAGCCAGGTGTACAACTGACACTAAATATGAATCAGGATTTGAAAGTACAGAGAGAGTGGAAGATTTCGACGGAAGGGAGAATTAAGGACTGCTGCAAATAACATCTGAACTAAGACAGGAAAGACTTTACCAAGCAGATGGGGGGTGGGGGGTAGCCTGAGGCACCAGCGCAGTGAAGGCCAGAGGCAGGAAAGCATAGGGGTCCTTCGGGAGCTACAGAGGGTCCAGTGTGGCAGGCGGCAGGGAGCCCACAGAATGGAGCCAGATCACGGAGGCTTGTCATTGTTTTTACCTGACGTTATTCTGCAGACAACACAGAAGCATGCTAACTCTCCAATCAGCAGGGTATTAATTTAAAAAAATCTTACTCTCCTACACTTTGAAGGGAAATAGTGTTATTGCTATCTCAATGAGATACTGTGGTACAGACTACTGGAGATGACTTTTCCTCTTACCCACACTGCAGTCATCCCCTTGCCAGGAGGCTGAGCACACGCAGCGATACCCGTGGCCAGTGGGGTCCACAACGCATTTCCCGTCGTGAAGACAAGGGTTAGTGGCACAGCTGTTAACTAAGAACACATTCCGGGAATAAAGCAGTTAATCACATAGGAAATGTAAAGTGGCTCTAGGTAAATATTTAATTCTCCCAGCTAATATTTGATTTTTGCTTATTTCTGTTGACTTGCCCTGAAAGGTCACACTACTAAAATAGAGCAGGTTCCCGGGAGGTGCAGAAGAGATGCAGTGGGGACTAGACCCCGGCACTAGTCCGTGAGCAAACACAGGTGTTCGACAACTGGATCCCCGAATGCAAGAACAGGTTCAAATCTAAATGCTGCTTACGTGCTTACAGGTCGCTCGGTTCAGGACTGATGATTAGATTGTCTTTGACACTTAGAAAATGCTACTTGAAGCCATGCCAATTTAAAACACATGTCAGGGGGGAAGAGGTCCCTGATTAACCATCCTCCCTGCTCCAGGATTCCCCCCTTTCCAAAAAAAAAATCTCAAAATATAACCGGGCTTCCACATATGGTGCAATCATTTGGACAAACAATCGAAGTGGTGCACTCCAGTGCCCTCTCTTTCCATAGTGTGACAACGAGCAGAGACCACACTCTGGGTTTCGGTATCTAGAACCAGCATTGTCATGCTCCAGCTATGTAATAACTGCCTACTAAAGACTTCGGCCACATGCTCAGGAGAGCTGAAACCCACAACATAACTGCATCGTTTCCAAGCAGAAAAATCACTGGTAGGAGGAGAAAGAGAAGGCAGAAGTCAAGAGTTGTAACGCCAAAAAAATCACCCCGAAAACAAATGAGCTAACCCTAAAGATGGTGTTCCTATTCCACAAGGCTACTTTACATATCCCTAAAATCACGTACTGGAGCACAGCACCTCCATAACCAAACACCGTCCCACAGATACTGTCAGAAAAACCATATTAACAGCCAGTCATGATGCTACTAATTCTCCCCTACAGTTATCGTTGTAATGACCATAATCGGCTTTAAGGGGGATTTGTGAATTATGTTCCATCTGGTACTGGAATATATTTGGCTGGAAATGAAGCTCCTCCTGGAACTCTGAAGCAGGGTTCCAGCCACCCTGGAGAAGAATCCACCTTCCATCTCTCAGAGGTGCTCGGGTCGCTGCACAAAGAGGGCAGGAGTGGTGATGGCCCTCCCGCCCTCCGGCTGGCCGTGGCTGACTGGCTGGAACTCGGACACTAACGGAGCTCCGTGCTCTAGTCACTACACAGCGTTCTCTTCTTTCCTCCTTCCTTAAGGTGTCAGTCTCCCTATCCCCCCCTGCACCAACAGCAGTTTTCCTTTCCTGGGTCTGGACAAGCCAAAGGTACAATTCCGAACATGACATCGAAAGATGGATCACTCTAATTCCTTCTACCTTTCCTTAAATTACGAAGAGTCACGTGAATGGCTTTATTTTCCCCGTACCAGCCACTCCCACACGAATATAAAGATAAGCTCAAGGGCACTGTAAAGAAGCTTGGGTCGCCCTGTCACTACGGGAAACTGTTAGTTCATCGTCCTCTTACGGAACGTGTCCCTTTAACCTGCATTTGCCAACTTGCACCACACTCTCCGGAAGACCAAGGAGCCTGGGCTTCCCTTGGATCCAGAGAAGCCTTCCCTGCGACTGAGAAGCTCAGGGCTCTGACCTGGGAGCAGGGCATACTCACTCCGTGTCTCAGAAAGACCACCCGAAGCTTCTCGACTGCAGTATTCCCACCGTCCGATCCCACATCACTGCCCTGCTCTGGCCTTGGGAGACTTCGAGGCACCTTAAAAGGCTCTTGCAATCTGGGGCACTACAACTACAAGGGCACTATCTACGGATGTCACACGCAGCCGATGGCATCTTCCCCTCTTTCTTTAGGCAGACTTCTGTAACTCACAGGAGAGAACATGAGGTCCACCATGACATTATTTGATGAGGTGACCTCACAGACACGGACCTACTGCAGACAGCAGCCCTTGCCACGCGTTCCCACAAATCCCGAGCCTGTGCAGCCCACCGTGTGCTGGTGTGACCGCCCTTTACCTGAGGCTGGAGATGACAATGCTTTTGGCGACTGCGTGCTGCTCTGGGCAGCGACGGTGGTAGATTTAGGAGTCAATGCTTCAGCGGTGGAAATGCCTGTGGTTGGGGGAGATGTTCTGAGGAAATGTGAAGCCGGGCTGTGTTCTGTCATGCCAGGCCTTGGGGTCAATCCTTTTGCTGATGTGGGTACACTGGTGAGGGGGATCAACTGGCTGGTAGCATCTCCATGGACTTGGCTCCTTTCTGTGGTGACAGAGCTTTCTGTGGAGATCCGTGGTGCTGGGATTTCGGGGCTGGTTGGCAAGAGCTGTTTTTCAGCCGTAGTCTGTACTGTTGTGGGGTCAGCCATGGGAGCTGCTGTGGTTGACGCAGGGCTGAAGGGATGAGAGGTCTCGAGGACGGTGGTTGTCAAAGCTGGAGACGTTTGGGGTATGCTGGTGCTCGTGGCTGGGAGGGTTTGCTGAGTGGAGGACTCTGTTAAGGTCGAGGGCATAGGGATCCCTGACGTAGATCTCACTGTTATAGCTTCAGGGGCCTCTGTGGGCAGAGACTCCGGGCCTGGTGGCTTTGATTCTGTAATGACTTTCTCATGGTGTGGGTGACTCTGGTTCTTAGGATCTGCTGTTTGACCGCTGGGGAGCATTGCCACAGATAATGCCATTGTCCCCGTCTGAACTGAAGTCACAGGGGTGTCTCTTGCCCTGGGTAGGACCAGGGTAGAAAGTGAAGGTGGTAGGGTTGTTTGGGAGGCAGATGGTGAGGCAGGGGCAGATGCTGTCAGGGACCCTGGTAAGGGTGGTGGTGAGGAAGACACTGGTGTGGGCGCATCGGGAGTGGACTGCAGTGGAAGAGTAGAGGCCCCGGTCGATGGTGAGATTGATGAGAACAACTGATGGGACTGGGACACTGAGGGCAGGGGCAAAGGGGGCCCTGAAGAAGAAGAAGAGTCACCAATCGATGCAGCATCAGTGTCCAGAAGAACCAAAGTGTTGGACATGTTAATGGTGGGTGCGTAGGAGGGAACGTTGGCTGTGCGCAGACCCAGCGACTCAGTGGAAGGCTGGGCATACTCCCTTTCATAGGACGACACATTTCTTCTTTCAGTCTGAGCCTGGGAAGAGGAAGAATAGTCTGAATGTGAAGAGTTCGAGATCTTAGTAGAAGAGGTAGAACTCTCCCTTAAGTCCGGGGATGAACTGTTGTCTATAATGGAAAGTAACGCCCGTTCTCCTTTGGTGAAAGTAGATGAGACATAGGTGTGGTCTGTGTAGTCACTGGAAGTCCCCTGTTCCATATCCGTGCCACGCACTTGATTGTAGCTCATTCCAGTGACTGCAAATGGAAAAAACCAAAGTTAGGTCAACTCAACAAACAAGAAATCTCCCAAACACATATTAATGCTTTCTTTGGAGAGGCGGTTTTCGATAGCGAGCACTCTGGATGAGCAGTGTGGGCAGGCAGGAACGGGCAGAGTCTGTGCGGAGTCTATTTACCCTCCTGGGAGGACCTCGGGCGGCGGCAATAGAAATGGTAATAAAAGAGAAGTGGGGCCAGCGGCTGAAGAATAGGGAATAGGTCCAAATTCCTTCCACATGCCTTTTTTGATAAAAGCAAATTGGTATCTGAAAAGCTCTTAAGACCCCAACAGAACAATTGTTATGTCTAAATGGAAAAAGGAAAACCCTCCCAATTTTCCATTCTGTATAATGATAATGAGATATTTCTTTCCCAGGAGATTGGCTTTGGCCACAACTGGCTGGTCTCCTTTAGTCCAAGCATCCTGGCAGACAACATCACACATGGCTGAGGCAAGTGGGGGGAAGTGGGAGAACCCAGAAAGTTCTCTTCAGACAGAGCTTATAAGGTACTTTCTGGGTTGACAGCAAACTTAATCATTCTAGGACTGGGAGTACACCGACAGGTGAGCTGAAGGACTGTGGGCAGAGATCCTGCTCCTCACCTCCCAGGGACGGTGAGGCCGCCAGTGAGCCCGAGACCAAGTGGGCGTCACCAGTCACGGTCACGTTCCCGCGTTGGGTGGCGCTCTCGGTTTCTCTGGGCACTACCACAGAATGCCGCACTTCCCCAGAAGTTGTGCTCGCGTTGGTGAGAGACCGCAGCGTGCGCTCTCCAGTTCCGGTGAAAGTAGCTGAAGTGTGCGGGTGGTGAGCCTGGGAAGTCCTCTCTTCCACATCAGAACTGCCTCCGGGCTCCGGACCATCTTCAGTGGCTGCAAAGGGGATTGAAAGGGGATGGCCGGTCAGTACAGGGCTGGAGCGGCAGCACCATGCAGGAGTCCCAGCGATGAGCCTCACTTCCCGCGCTAAGGTAGTCAAAGGGCTTCCCTGGCTTTTCCCGGGTCTTGATCTGAAACTCGCACTCGGGAAACCACGATGTGTTGCTTCCTGCAAACCCGTATCGTGACCAAAACCTCAGGAGGCCCTGCAGATCAGCACATCCGTTCGGGTGACCTGGACTGATGGGATGGTTTACTACTTCAGTGAACAGGATCATACTGTATTTCTGCTCAGTGATACATAACAGAGTTTATGTCAGGGAAACTGGTGGTGGTGGGGGGGGGGAGGTGAATGCTCAGCAAAAGCCTAACCACCCCACGGGGGCTTTAGACTTTCTGATGAGGCCCAGGAGGGAGAACCCCCATTGCTTGTAAGGCTTTTTCCTGAACTGACATGGGGCTTATCATTCTTTTAGAGTTAGTTCTTTCCCTTAATGCATCAATGAGAAATGCATGGTGGTTGGAAGTTAAAGATGGGCTTATTTTCTGTTCTATGTTATTTTTCTTCTTCTTTTTTAATTTTTTAAAAAAGATTTTATTTATTTATTTATTTGAGAGAGAGAGAGACGGAGAGTGCACACACAAGTGCTCATGTACAAGCAGGTGGGGGCAGGGAAAGGCAGAGAGGAGGGAGAGGGAGAGAGAGACTCTCTAGCAGACTTCCCGCTGAGACTGGAGCCCCACGCGGTGCTCGATCTCATGACCCTAACATCACGACCTGAGCCAAAACCAAGAGTCGGACGCTTAACTGACTAAGCCACCCAGGTGCCCCAATTTTTGTTTTCTTAATGCATTTATTTTCTTGGTGGGAATGGGACAGGTGACACATGAATAAATATCCTTTCCCTCCTTTCTTGGGTGTATGTTTTATGCTATAAGCTCAAAGACTCTTATATTAGATTATCAAATAAACCCTTTTCAGAAATTATGGAAATGAGGTCCAACTCTTCCTGGCCTAAATACTCATAATCTGGTTCTATGAGAAAACAAGTTCTTTCCCTGGTTCTTATTCCTATTCCCAGACCAGACTAGCTCTTTTTTTTTTTTTAGTTTATTTATTTAAGTAATCCCTACACCCAACGTGGGGCTCGAACTCATGACCCCAAGATCAAGAGTCACATGCTCTACTGACTGAGCCAGCCCGGTGCCCCCAGACTAGCTCTTGATACCGCATGGAAAACAGAGGTAAAGCTGCATGTTAGGTAAGCTCACTTCATGATAGGTTTTCATTAAGTGAAAGGAATGAGTGTGGGGACAGGGATACACAGTGACCTGGAGCAGTGCTGAGACAGCCAGGAAGCAGGAAGAGATGTGACCTGACCGGGCTGAAGGGCTTAAGAGACCCATGGGTCCACCAGGAGAGGCTTGAGGGCTGAGTGTATCCGAGCACAAGTCCCCTTGGGCAGAGGGGACAAGGCCTGGGCTGGGGAGATCATAAAACTCTTAAATGGAATTTAGGCAAACAACCCCATCAGGCTTATAGAGTTAAGAAAGTGGAGAGTCATGGCCTGAAACAGAGGGGCTGCATCCAAACCCAGAAAAAGGAACAAACCAAGAACTCTGAAAGGCTGGATGGCAGAATGAGTCCGCTTTGAGTGATTCAGAGCAAACGAGATAAAGCATTAGGTTAACTGACAGTGAGCTGGTTTCGGGAATGAGGCTATTCCTTATCTGGCTCTTCATAACTGAACCCTAAGACCTGCTCACACATTTCCCACACAAACCAACTGAGCATGCACAATGGAGCGAAGGGTACTCGTATGGAGGCGATGCACACAGGAAAGGCAACAGCATCTAAGCTCCCAGTTTGAGAAGGAGAAAACGCTGAGCCCCACATTGTGAGGGTAGAAAATGAATCCTTTTGTCTAGGAGACAGATCATGCACTTTCCATGCACACACATGAAAAAGCACAAATATTCTCCACCCATACATGTGGTACTCTTTCATGATAAGCATATGCTTTTCCACATCACATCAGTAGTAATAAATGCTAATTTTCCTCATCAGTTAGGATGTTCATATGGGGGAAATGGAGCTGCTATTATCAGTGGTGGAGAGGTAAGGATTTAAGCCCATTATAAGCTTAAATGGTAAATTACTGCATTTTTGCTTTAGTCAGCACACACTTTACATTGACAAGGTGGCCGAGAATTGTTGATAAAATTACCCAAAAACATTATTAAAAAGGACCATCAAAGAAAAAGTGTTCTCAAATTTATAAAATTGGTCTTCATCAAAATTAAAAAACCTCTATGCTTCAAAAGATGATATTGTCAGAAAAGTGAAAAAAAAACCCCACAGAATGGGAGAAAATGTCTGCAAATGGAATATCTGATAGGGGACTAGGGTCCAGACACTAGAGGAAGAAACTCCTAACCGATTTTAAAATGGTCAAAAGATCTGAATAGACTTCTCCCAAAGTGAAAAGATACCCAACATCATTAGCTGGAAGATGCAAATCAAAACCACGTGAGATGCCACTTCACATCCATGAGGATGGCCATCACCAAAACAGATGATCCACAGTGAGTGCTGGGGGAGCCCCGAGGAACTGGAACGGAAAACAGTTCGATGATTCCTCAGTGGTTAAAAACAGAGCTACCGGGGCGCCTGGGTGGCTCAGTCGTTAAGCGTCTGCCTTCGGCTCAGGTCATGATCCCAGGGTCCTGAAATCGAGCCCCGCATCCGCATCCGGCTCCCTGCTCAGCGGGAAGCCTGCTTCTCCCTCTCCCACTCCCACTGCTTGTGTTCCCTCTCTCGCTGTGTCTCTCTCTGTCAAATAAATAAATAAAAT